GAGACGGAGTCTCGGTCCGTCACCCAGGCTGGAGTGCAGTGGCGCTATCTCGGATCACTGCAAGGCTCCACCTCCCAGGATTCAAGCCACCATTCTCCTGCCTCAGGCTCCCAAAAGCCGTAGTCTCCTGTAGCTGGGACTACAGGCGCTGGCCACCCACCCCACAATTTACTTTTTGGTATTTCTTGGTGGTAGGGAAGGGGTTTCTTTTTTTTTTTTTTTGAGACCGGATTCTTGCTCTGTTGCCCCAGGCTGGAGTGCAGTGGCGCGATCTCGGCGCACTGTAAGCTCCGCCCCCCCCCCCCCCCCCCGGGTTCACGCCATTCTCTGCCTCAGCCTCCCGAGTAGCTGGGACTACAGGCGCCCACCACCCGCCCGGTAATGGTCTTGTATGTTTGAGTAGAGACGAGGGGTTTCAACCGTGTTAGGCCAGGATGTCTCGATCTCCTGACCCTCGTGATCCGCCCGTCTCGGCCTCCCAAAGTGCTGGGATTGTACAGGCTTGAGCCACCAGGCGCCCGCCGGAAGGGGTTATCACTGGTTAGCCAGGATGGTTTCGATCTTCTGGACTCTGATCCGCCTGCCTCAGCCTCCCAACAGTATTGGATTACAAAGCATGAGCCGCGCGCCCGGCCGCGACAACAATGAAACTTTAAAAGTCCAGGAGATGTGCTTTATCTTTTCTTCTCTTTTCTTTCTTTCTTTCTTCTCTTTCTTTCTTGTCGGAGTCACCACTCTGTCGCCAGGGCTGGAGTGCAATGGCACGATCTCAGCTTACTGTAACCTGCTGCCTCCGGGGTTAAAAGATGCTGTGAGCCTCCAGCGTAGCTGACTACAGTCGTGCACCACCACACGCAGGCTTAATTTTTGGTATTTTTTAGGGGGTTTTTAAAAGAGGCGAGGTTTCTCCATATTGGCCAGGCTGGTCTGAACTCAGACCTCAGGTGATCCACCTGCCCGCCCCCAAAAAGCTGTGAGTGACGAGTGCGACGCAGCCGCGCCCGCCACCGTATGTGCCTTTTTCTTTGGTTTTGTTTTTGAGACAGAGTCGTTGCGTCTCTCACCAAGGGCTGGAGTGCAGTGGCGTGATCTCCGCTCACTATCATAGCTTCTGCCTCCTGGGTCCACACCATTCTTCCTGCCTCAGCCTCGCCGAGGTAGCTGGGTACTACCAGGGTGCCTGCTCACCCACACCTGGCTAATTTTTTTATTTTTAGTAGAGACCAGGGTGGGTTTCACTGGCGTTAGCCAGGATGGTCCTCAATTCTGTCCTGACCTCTGATTCCACCCGCCTTGGCCTCCCAAGTGACTGGGATTACAGGGCGTTGGAGCCACTGGCGGCCCTCAGGCCCATGCCATTTTCATACAGACAAAGCACCCCCTTGAGGGTCGAGCAGATTCCTAATCACCTTCCCAATGTCATTCTAATAACCCATGCTTCAACATTCATACCTTTATTGTATTTTTTAAAAGTGTAGGCCAGCCACAGTGGCTCACGGCTCCCAGGCACTTTGAGAGGCGAGGGCAGGTAGATCACCTGAGGTCAGGAATTTCGAGACCAACCTGGCAACATGGTCAACCTGTCTCTACTAAAAATACAAAAATTAGCCTGGTGTGGTGGCACATTCCTGTAATCCCAACTATTCGGGAGGCTGAGGCAGGAGAATCGCTCGAACCCAGGAGGCGGAGGTGTGTGTGAGCCGAGATCGTGCCATTGCACTCCAGCCTAGACAACAAGAGCGAAACTCCATCTCAAAAAAAAAAAAAAGGGGGGGTATTGGGCCCCTCCTCTTTTGTTCAGGTACTGCTAAGAGATTTTTTTTTTTTTTTTTTTCCAGACAGATTTTCCCTTTTGTTGTCCAGGCTGGAGTGGCAATGGTGAATGGTGCAATCTCAGCCTTCCCTGCAACCTCTGCCTCCTGGATTCAAGTGATTCTCCTGCCTCAGCCTCCCGAGTAGCTGGGATTGACAGGATGGTGCCCACCAGCCACCAGGCTGGAAATTTTTTTGTATTTTGTAGTGATGAGATTCGGACACTATTAAAAAGTAACCCCGGTATGTGAGACCAAAAAAAAAAAAATTTCATTTTTTAAGTCACACTGGGCAGGAAGCAGAATAGAGATTTGAGTCCAGGTGTACCTGACCGAGTCTCTGCCTGCACTCCTAGACAAGATGCTCAGGACAGACCTCATTCTTTGGTTGTCCCCAAGCAGGAGGAAACAAATGCCACTTCCTATGTTGGGAGAGCTGAGGGCTGGTGGTTTAGCAGTAGGAGAAGAAAAATCTGATTAGATGTTTCAGGCACACTCCATGGATCTCAGGGCTGATGGGGGACAAGGAGAGGACAAGGGAGGAAGCAGTCCAGGGTGCACCCCCTTGTTAGTGGCTGGGGTCAGTGGCTGACCAAGTAGGAGTGCAGAGGGGTAAGAAAAGTAGCTTTCAAGGGTAAGAACCTGTGTGTGAATGTGGATATGTTCAGTATGAGATGTCCAAGAATCGTCCCCAGTGGTCATTTGGATGTGGGTCTGGAGCTGAAGGGTGAGACACAGTAGGTGGGTTTTTCAGTCAGTTATGGGTTCTAATCAGGACCAAGAAGTGTGTAAGATCGTCCCAGATGAGACAGTGAAGCCAGGACCTTCAGAAACGCATTTGAGGGGCAAGAGGAAAAGGACAGTGAGGTGGAACAGGAGGAACAGGACACTGAACAGGACACTGAGGAGGAACAGGACACTGAGGAGGGGCCGGAGATGCTGGTAAAGAAGTGACAGCAAGTACTGAGCAAACAAGTGGCTATAAAGGGGAGGAGAGGACAGAAGCTGGGGAGGCCGCTGGAGAGTGAGGGGGAGAGAGGAGGGTGAGAAGTCGGAACTAGAGGGGTTAGGGGCGGAGCGAAGTTCTCGAGGCGTTGCCTGCATGAGGGGGAAGCGCGGCTTGAGGCCCGGGAGGGTACAGACAGCGAGGAGGGGCCTCCGTCGGAGGGGACTGGAGACCTGCCGAGAGGTGGGGGCCTTAAAGAAGTTGCTGACCAACCACGTCCTCGGCGCGGCCAAGAGCCGGGCCCAGGTCAAAGGCCCGATGGCCCCTGCAGAACTGGGCCAGGACCCGCGCAGCCGCGTTCGCCCCCTCGAGGTCGTGAGCGCGCGTGCCCAGAGCAACTGGCATTGTCACGTACGGCCGGCGCCCAGGGGTTGGCTCCGCCCCCGGCTTCCGCGGGGATTGGCCGGGGCGGGCCGGGGCTGGGCAGCTGCAGTAGGGTAGAGAGTCCGCACTTGCGCGGCGGCCGAACTGAGAGAGAATTAGTCCCTGCGGTCCCACAAGACGGGCCCCGCTGCCCTTGGTGACCCTGCGCTCCGGCCTCGGGGTAGGTGGCGGTCGGCGCGCCGAGACCCTGGGGAGCCCCGCCCAGACGCCTGCTCCGCTCCCAGGCCGCCCGGGCTCTCCAGCAGCGCTCGCCATGGAGATCCTAGACGAGTTCGACAGCGAGGTCCCGCAGAGCGAAACCTTCTGCCAGCAAATCTCCGAGGAAGACTTGGAGAGGCAGGCGGACACCACACTGAGCGCGCGCTGCGCCGCCTCTTCCACCGCCTCGACCGCAACCCGTCGCTGGCGGAGAGGGTGGTGCAATTGGAACAGCGTGGGCTCCTCTGTTTTCTCCGGGTGCGGCCGCAGGGCCTGGGACCGACTGGGTGGCAACTGTCGCTACCCGGGTCCGCCGTCCCCTAGGGCAGAGCTCCGACAATTGGAGCTTGGGGATGGGGTGGAGAGGTAGCAGTCGGCGTAGCTGGGACTTCAGGGGAGGATCTATCAGAAAACCGAGGCTGCACAGCCTGGGGAGTGGAGCGGGCAGGCATCTCACGCCCCGGACCTCCCCCTGCCCTGCTTCTCCCACTCTTGTTGCAGGCGAAGTGTGCAGGGGGAGCTGAACCATTGCAACAGCACGGGCGCCCTGGAGATGCACGAGCGGGTGGAGCAGCTGAAGCAGAGCATACACCGCGTGCACCTCTACTCCCGGGGTGAGGATCAACCTCTGCCCGTGCTGGGCCCTGCGGGGGGTCTGAGCCCATTGCAGCCAGGCCGAGGGCTAGATGACCACCTCCACTCTTTTCGGTTGGATTTGCCCTCCACCTCCACTCTTTTCGGTTGGATTTGCCCTCCTTGGATCAAGTTTTATCCAGAGCAGGAAGGGGCCTGCCTGGGCAATCCGGACTTGGGAGAAGGAGAGGCGCTGCCCTTAGCTAGACTCTTTTTTTTTTTTTTTTTTTTTGAGACGGAGTCTTGCCCTGTGACCCAGGCTGGAGTGCAATGGCACTGATCTCGGCTCACTGCAACCTCCGCCTCGTGGGTTCAGTCGATTCTCCTGCCTCAGCCTCCTGAGTAGCCGGGATTACAGGCGCCCGCCACAACGCCCAGCTAATTTTTGTATTTTTAGTAGAGACGGGGTTTCACCATGTTGGCCAGGATGATCTCGATCTGCTGACCTTGTGATCCGCCCGCCTTGGCCTCCCAAAGTGCTGGGATTATAGACATGAGCCACTGCGCCCGGCCCCTAGCTAGATTATTTAGTTAGGAGACTGACTTCTGCTTTGCTGCTTCCTGGCTGTGTGATCCTGAGCAGGCTGGGCTGCCTTCCCGAAAGAGAGAGCGCCCTCATTGCTCATCTTGGTGAGTGTTTTGGAGTGGTGGATGAAGACCTGCAGGTAGGGCCTGGCTCAAGCAACCCAGCAAACCTGACTCAATTGAAAAAAAAAAAAAGCTGAGTGCGGTGGCTCACGCCTGTAATCCCAGCCCTTTGGGACAAGGCCGAGGCGGGCAGATCACAAGGTTAGGAGTTCGAGACCAGCCTGACCAACATGGTGAAACTGCCATCTCTACTAAAAATACAAAAATTAGCGGGGCGTGGTGGCCGGCGCCTGTAAGCCCAGCTACTCAGGAGGCTGAGGCAGGAGAATTGCTTGAACCCGGGAGGCGGAGGTTGCAGTGAGCTGAGATAGTGCCACTGCACTCCAGCCTGGGCAACAGAGTGAGACTCCGTCTCAAAAAAGAAAAAAAAAAGAAAGTTGAGAGAGTCCTGGCACTGACCAACCATGTCCTTCTTGTGGCCCTGTGGCTTGTCTCTGGCCCTGTGTTTGGCACTTTAAAAAAGCACTTTTTATTATTAAAGTAAACATATACAAAACTGGAGATGACAGGGAACACCCCCAAGAACCTGTCATCAGCCTCAGCAACTGTCCCCATCTTGCCAAATGTGTTTCACTCCCCATAACCCTAGGCCTTTTTCTGAAGTATTTGAAGGGAAATCTCAGACATCATTGTACCTCTGACTACTTTAGAATGCATCTTAATTAAAAAAAAAAAAAAAAAAAAAGGCCAGGCATTGTGGTTCACACGTGTAATCCCAGCACTTTGGGAGGCCGAGGCAGGTGGATCACCTGAGGTCAGGAGTTCAAGACCAGCCTAGCCAAATTGGTGAAAGCCCGTCTCAACTAAAAATACAGAAGAATTAGCTGGGTGTGCCTGCAATCCCAGCTACTTCGGGAGGCTGAGGCAGAAGAATCACTTGAACCCAGGAGGCAGAGGTTGCAGTGAGCCGAGATCGCACTACTGCACTCCAGCCTGGGCAACAAGAGAGAAACTCCATCTCAAAAAAAAAAAAAAAGGCATTTGGCTGGACACAGTAGCTCATGCCTGTAAACCCAGCACTTTGGGAAGCTGAGGTAAGAGAATCTCTTGAGCCTAGGAGTTGGAGACCAGCCTGGGCAACACAGCAAGACCCTATCTCTCTGAAAACTTTTTATTTATTTATTTTTTTTGTTGAGACGGAGTCTCGCTCTGTTGCCCAGGCTGGAGTGCAGTGGCCGGATCTCAGCTCACTGCAAGCTCCGCCTCCCGGGTTTACGCCATTCTCCTGCCTCAGTCTCCCAAGTAGCTGGGACTACAGGCGCCTGCCACCTCGCCCAGCTAGTTTTTTGTATTTTTTTAGTAGAGACAGGGTTTCACCGTGTTAGCCAGGATGGTCTCGATCTGACCTTGTGATCCGCCCGTCTCGGCCTCCCAAAGTGCTGGGATTACAGGCTTGAGCCACTGCGCCCGGCCTGAAAACTTTTTAAAAATAGCCAGGTGTGATGGCAGATGCCTGTAGTCCTGGCTACTTGGGAGGCTGAGGCAGGAGGATAGCTGGAGCCCTGGAGTTTGAGGTTATGGTGAGCTATGATCACACCAGTGTGCTCCAGCCTGGGCAATACAGAGTGAGACCCTGTCTCTATAAAGTGACAACTACAAAAACAAACATTTGCTGACATAATCACAATGTCATTGTTACACTTTACATAATTGACAACAGTTCTCTGACATAAGCTGGTCATAGTCACCTCTCCTACATGGGCCACAAAAGTCTTTCTAGAAAGACCCGGTGAGACTCACACATTCATTATGTTTGGCTGTTAGGCCTCTTAGGTTCCTTTTAACTAGGGTGATTGTATAATTAGTGTCTAAATTGGGACCCTTGTGAGAATGAAATGAAAGGGGGCCACATATGTGGCCACATGGGCAGCAAATGTACATTGGGATGGCCCTGGGTCCTTGGCCACTTCTGTTGAAGTCCCCTTTGAGGAGGGATAGCCCGTCTGGTGTCGTCCTCTGGCAAGTCCCACTTCCCGGGTTTGCGTCTGTTACGGTCTGCTGCTGGCTTGCTTCCTCCTCTGCCTGCATTTCTTGGACAGTTGCTCTAAAGCTCGATTGGATTCAGGCTCAGTTCCTTCGGTATATTTGTGTTCACGGGTGCCTACACTAGTGTGGGGCTACTCACTTCTGTGTCACATGGGGAGGCCCAGTTTGCCTGGGGGTCCCACTTTCTGAGGGGCTGACAGTGAGCCCTCCACTGATTGTTCGCTGTCAGCAGTGACTCTGGGCATTGTTCATGGTGCTCTTTGGGGCCTCCCTCCCTTTGTTGTTGGAGGGGCTGCATGAAGACCCCACACCACTGTGTTTGGCTCCCACTCTACTCTGGCTGCAAGGCAGGCACTCACTGGCACCTTTTGTTGCAGACACCAAGAAGAGGAGAAGGAAGCCAAGACAGAAGAAACCAGAACCCATCCTCTTACGGGACCAGTCGACCTCCCCATGCCTGCCACCGACCCCACTGCCACCTCTGCCACTGCCACCACCATGGTCTCCGTGGTGACCCCGTCACCCCCTGTCTATACTATGCCTAGGGTCCTTGGTCCCTTCCCTCCACTGCCCTGCACGTCAGTCAGTGGGAGCCTCCCCCACTCCAGGCAGTCCTGGGTGCCCCCTGCTCAGAACAATCCCAGGGGCTCTCCTGGGCCTGTAGCTGTGGCTCTCAGCCCTCTGCTTTCAAGCAGCAGACCCCTCTTTGCAGACAGGGTCTTCATGGATAAAGCAGATAAACGGGGTTTGCCCTGGTTAAGGCATTGGGTGAGGTTGAAGGCACCAAGGGGCTCCACCTTCTTGACTTTAGGCAAGCAAGGCAGCCCCAGGCGCACCAGACAGGATCCTGGGGCTCCCAAAGGACAGGTGGAAAACCAGAGGGCCCCTCCCACATCTCCAGCACCAGTCCTGCCTCTCCCTGTGGGCATGGCTCCCCACGCTATCCTCTGCCTGCAGTGTACTGGGTTAGAGCCAGGATGGTGTCTGGCCCCAGGGAGGTGCAGAGGCATGCTTACCAGGGGAAGCCAGGGCAATGGAGCTTGGGCGTGCTGTTTCCAGCCACATAGGAGAAATGGAAGCCTCCAGGGTTGAGAACCAAGGGAGTCAGATCAACCATGCGGCTGCAAGACAGGGCAGAGAGGGGACATCAGCCCCAGGCCCCTCCACACCTCATGTGCAGTTCTACAGCATGGGCACAGGTACTGCCCACACAGTCGACCTCTGAGCCCAGACCCCTCCCCTGTAAAATGAGAATAAGCACTCAGGATGATTGTGAGGATTAACTAACATATTGAGAAGAAATGGTGACTGAGCCTGGCACATGGGACACTCCCCAAAATGCTCCTTTTTCATTTCCCTCAAGCCCAGAGTAAACCCCTTCGACCTCCTTGCGTTTCATGACAGGCCATTCCAGTTTAATTTCACTTCAGATCTTGAAATGTTCAAATTCTTCGCTTGGAGGATAGAAAGGAAATCTCAGGACGAGTTTGTTGGCCTCAGTTAAAGAAAAGTACTTTACAGAAGAGCCATAAGAATGACGTGGCTTTCATTCACTCGGCAGATACATTGGGACCATCTCTTGTGCCTACCTTGAGCTTGGTTAGGGGTACAGGAGATGGGATCGGGGGCGCTGGGAACTAAGGAGGTCTTAACCCAGCCTGGGGGATGGAGGACTGCCTGGAGGTGGAGGCCAGCCCTGAATGAGTCACACAGGCTAAGTGGGGAATCAAGAGGTGCAGGCAGTTAGGCCACCACACCTGGCCGTTCATCTTTTTTAGCATTGAATAATATTCCATTGCCTGGATATGCCACATTTTATCATTCACCCAGTGAAGGATATCCTGGTTGCTTCCAAGTTTTGGCAGTTATGAATACAGCAGCTATAAACATCTGTGTGGAGGTTTTAGACTGGACATAACTGTTCAGCTCATTTGGGTAAATACCAAGGAGCATGCTTGCTGAATCATAGGGTACGATAACCAAACTATCTTCCAAAATGACTGTACCATTTTGCATTCAGCAATGAATAAGAATTCAGAGGACTTGGCACAGTGGCTGATGCCTGTAATCCCAGCACTTTGGGAGGCTGAGGCGGGTGGATCACAAGGTCAAGAGATGGAGACCATCCTGGCTAACATGGTGAAACCCCGTCTCTACTAAAAATACAAAAAGATTAGCTGGGTGTCATGGCAGGCACCTGTAGTCCCAGCTACTCTGAGGCAGGAGAATGGCATGAACCTGGGAGGCAGAGCTCGCAGTGAGCCGATATTGCACCACTGCACTCCAGCCTGGGCGACAGAGCGAGACTCCATCTCAATAAAAAAAAGACAATTCAGATTTCTGGCCAGGCATAGTGGCGCACTACTGTAATCCCGTAATCCCATAATCCCAGCAATTTGGGAGGAGTGAGATGGGGGATCACTTGAGCTCAGGTGTTCAAATTAACCAGGCATGGTGGTGCATACCTTGTAGTCCCAGCTACTTGGAAGGCGTGAGTGGGAGAATCGCTTGAGCCCAGGGGGTGGAGGCTGCAGTGACCTGTGATCACCCTCCTGCACTCCAGCTTGGAGGACAGAGTGAGACCCTGTCTCAAAAACTTTTAATTAAAAAAAAAAAATCTAGGGGCCAGGTGCAGTGGCCCATGCCTGTAATCCCAGCACTTTCGCAGGCCGTGGTGGTGGATCACGAGATCAAGAGACCAAGACCATCCTAGCCAACATGGTGAAACCCTGTCTCTACTAAAAATACAAAAATTAGCTGGGTGTGGTGGTACACACCTGTAATCCCAGCTACTTGGGAGGCTGAAGTAGGAGAATTGCTTGAACCCAGGTGGCCACTGCACTCCAGCCTGGTAACAGAGTGAGACTCCGTCTCAAAAAAAAAAAAAAATTCTAGGTGAGAGAAAGTTTACCCAAGAGGACATCCAAGGAGTAAGCAAAGCATTAAAAAGTGTTTTTGACTCTCTTAGTAATGAAAGATGTACATGTTAAGATTGCTAGGATGAGTGTTATATACCTATCAAAAAGCCCAAAGTTGGCCAGATGTGGTGGCATATGCCTGTAGTCACAGTTTACGTGGGAGGCTGAGGCAGAAGGATTGCTTGAGCTCCGGGGTTCGAGACCAGCCTGGGAAACTTAGTGATACCTTATCTCTACAAAAAATTTTCAAAAATTAGCCGGGCATGGTGGCATGTATCTATAGTCCCAACTACTTGGGAGGCTGAGGTTGGGGGATTGTTTCAGCCCAGGAGGTTGAGGCTGCAGTGATCTATGATCAGGCCACTGCCGGACATCGGTGGCATTTCTTGTCCCAACTACTTGGGAGGCTGAGGTTGGGGATTGATTTCCAGCCGAGCGAGGTTGAGGCTGCCAGCTGGATCTAATGACTCAGCCACTGTACTCCAGCCTGGGCCTACAGAATGAGACCCTGTCTCAAAAAAAAAACAAAAAACCAAAAAAACGCCTCAAATTATGAAACATCCTTGTAATTTCTTTTTTTCCTTTTCTTTTTCTTTTTTTTTTTTTGAGAGGAGTCCTTGCATCGCTGTGCCCAGGCTGAAGTGCAGTGGCGTGATCTCAGATCACTACAAGCTCCACCTCCTGGTTTCACCACCATTCTCTGCTGCCTCAGCTCCCAGTAGCTGGGAATCGCAGCGTGGTCTGCTGCCACAACCCGGCTAATTTTTTGTATTTTTAGTAGAGATCGGGTTTCACCAAGGGTTAGCCAGGGATAGTCCCTCCATCTCCTGACATCATGATCCACCCGCCTCGGCTCCCAATAGTTGGTGGGGATTACGGGCGTGACCCACCGTGCCCCGCAGAAGGAATCCTGTTACTTTCAAGGCTAGTAGGAAGATTACTTCATTTAGCTATGGAAATCCTTACCAAGTTCGGCTTTTTTGGCTTGTTTCTGAGGACAGTTTCAGCTCCCTGTTGCCCAGGCTAGAGTGACAATGGCCCATCTTGGCTCACTGCAACCTTCCCCCTCCCAAGTTTAAGTGATTCATCTGGCCTCAGGCCTCCTCCAGTAATCTGGGATTACAGGCGCCCGCCACCACCCTGGCTATTTTTTTTTTTCCTTATGTGGGGTTTCATCATGTTTGGCCAGGATGGTCTTTGAATCCTCCTGTCTCCAAAAAATATAATAAATCTTTAATTTCACCAATAACAACAGATGCAAAATACCTCCATTCAAATGGGTGGACACTCATTTACTCAAACTGTTTTTCTTTTTTTTTTTCTGAGAATGGAGTTCTCCTCATCTGCTCGCCAGGCTGAGGTCGACTGAAGCATCTCCGTTCACTGCAAGCTCCGCTTCTCAGGTTCATGCTTTCTCCTGCCTCAGCCTCCTGAGTAGTTGGAACTACAGGCGCCGCCACCACGCCTGGAT